ATCATGTAATGCGCGCTTGATCATTTCATGGAAAGCGCGCAATATAAGAATTAAATTATTATTATTATAATAAAATTCGTCACGCCAGCACGCGTACTCCCTTTCTCCATACTTTCTCCTCTTTATTTCTTTCGTTCTTTTTTAATATTACGCGTTCTAGAATGCGAGTAATGTGGGTGAATTTTCCGCCGTTCCGCGATTTAGGACCAAGGTGATTTCATTCCACCGTTCCTCCCTTGGGTCGCTCCGTGGCTTTTTGGGCAGGACATTTTATGTGGCATACACAGACACATTCCTGAAAGTCGCTAAGGCTGGAAAATGGCGGTGTCGGTCTGACTTGGGCGGTGTTAGAGGAGATAAAACTAGTGGAAGGACGTCAAAAGCGAGAAACGAAGCTGTAGTTATAGCAGGGTAAGGATTCTTGTCTCTAAATCAACTGTTTTTTTCTCCTTTAAGTATCCTCTTTAACTAATTACTGTGCAGCAATGTTGCATTTAATGAGCAATTTTCACATGTAGCTATCCTTAAAATGCAGTTCCAACTTACAAAGAAGTCCAAGAAAAATGATTTCTCCCTTCAGTATTAAAGAACTCTTCTTTAACCGTAACTTGTAACTTTCACGAGCAATAAATGAGATGAAAAGTGTGAATGTTTTTAATATATTATGATGAGGAAATCATACGATCAACTCACTTCCGGCTTTGAACGTCTCTTTGAACTGGCATCAAGGAATCAAGACTTACACAGTAAGCTTATGTGTTTAGAAATTAAGGAGTACTGGAGCTTTTTAATTATTAAGGGCAATTAATTGGCCCCAAGATATAACGCCTTTCCCTGCATTGAAATGTTTCAACTACTAACATAGGCGGCAGAAGCGTTTACCCCCCCCCCCCCCATGACACTTTTGTAGACTAATAAAGAACTTTTTTTCTTTTACCACCATCAACTCATTATAATAGGACTTGAAACACTATGTTTTTACAAAACTTTAGTTGATTGGCTGTCCAATTAGTCAGTTGGGTTCTGCTGCATTCAATTTTGCTGTATGCATGACCAACTTCCATTTTTTAAATAACATGAGTCTCTACATCGGAAATAAGTTTTTGTTGCCCTGAGACGCCTCAAACCATACCTTAGAAAGATCAGTTAAACAGCTACATGCTTGTTCACTGTCACTAGACATTGGCGGACACAATCAACCCTGTTGTGATCGCCAAGACGTTCGCGAGTGCATGCAAATGAACAAGGAACGGACATTTTGTGAAGTTTGAGTAAACGTTAACTTGTCTGTTTAAAACAATAAACAAAGTACATAGTCACCCCAACCCCCTATGGAAGGCTATCCTATGTAGTTTTTGTTATCGGCACCATTGAAGATTGCATCCAAGGGGTTCGAAAAAAGGGTCTGGATGAGCGGGGAAACAAATGTCAGTTGTCATGCAGTTAAAAGGTTTGCCCATTTGTCAGTTGTCAGTTAACCCCATCAAGACCCTCCAAAATGTTTTCGCTATCTTAAAAAAGACAGAGGCTGCCTTTTATTCCTTATTGCATTTTGGATGGAAGGGGTGGGTGTGGGTGGGGTGTAAAAATAATTGAATGTTTAATTTTATTTTCAGCCCCCTCTTTTTATCTCGCTCTGCCACCACTGACTGCATTTTATGGTTCAGTCAATGGGCCATTTCCAAGTTTCAAAATATCCTGCTTTCTAATTACGAGGCTAAGTGGAAAACCGTTCTTGTGAAAATGAGTTTTATTTCCGTGAAAGTAAAAAATTTTTTTCATATCAGCGGCTTCCCAGTTAGTCTTGCTTTAAAACAGAGGCTTGAAGCAACTTTGAAACTGTTTATCCATGCTTCCCCAATTTTTGAAAATTTTCCATTTTTCACAAAAATCACAAACGTACGTAGTTGGAGTCCTCCTAACCTCCTAATTAACTGCTTTTCACTGATTCAATTTCATTGAATTTTCCAATTTTTTGCAAGTTTTAATGTTTTTGCAGCTGCATGCCAACCTACACTTATTTCATATACTAGAAATATGTATCCCGCAATAACCCTTGGGAAACTCAATTTAGCGGCACTCAAGTTAAGCCCTGTCAGGCGGGGTTAGGAACTGGATGGGTGATCCTTGGCAAATATTGTCATGAAGGTCCATATTTGTTCTTTCTTTACTTCTTCTTGTTTTTTGCATATTGTGTAGTGTTATTATAATGAATTCCAAACTAGACTTCAGGCTGAAAAAAGACAAGGTTTCGAGGGTAATTAAAAAGCCAAACCGTAATGTGCGTTCGAGAAACATCACATGACATATTCATAAGCAACAATTTGTCTGCGAAGTGAAACGCGCTGAAAATTGCTCTTGTATCTTGATTTTCGCTCTTTTTTTGGAAAATATTGACCCAAAGTGCTTCAATGTTCCACTATTTTTGCGTTTGCGGCTCTGTGATATTTGCAAGAGAAGTTGCTCGTGATTTGCTCGTGATTCACCGAGTAAACATTATTTCACAGATCAGTAGCCTTTCATGAATGAAACATGATAGTGCACCAAAAATAGTTGCCTGGAGACACAAATGCAGGGTGACGTCAAGGCGGATACCAACTGGAAGTGCCCAATATATAGCCTCGAACAAATATGCATGGACCAAGCAAGATTGCTCGCCACTAAGACGGCGCGAGACAAGATCGTAAATTGCTTTTGTGAGGAATGATACAGACTAAACATCCATAGACCTTTCCCTCATTATGCTCCAGTGAGCAAAGATAAAGAAATGAGGACAAGGCTTGGGTGGACAATTTCATACAAATCACCACATTTTGTCCCCCCGAGCCTTGAGTTGATGCCTTTGTTTACAGGAATACAGGAAAGGTCTATAAGATAGGACAAGCACTTAAAAGACAGGAGACATGTATTTAAACCAATTGGATCATTTCAGTACTACCCAATTGCAGTGAACAATATTGAACATCCTGCAAGGAAACTGGTTGCCTGTGTTCTTTGTTGTTTACTCCTAAAAAACAAAAAGCCAGACAAGTAGGCAAGAGTCAATCCTATAGAAGAAGTGCATAGGCAAGTTGGCATCTATAATATTGTGTTTGCCTAATCAGTGTCAACAGAATCTACAAATCCTTACCTAACGTCAGGCCTGTTAGTCCAACCCTTTCAGTTAAACAGTGATTCATACCACTTTTCACTGGATAAATACCTTTGCTTAACTACAACACTGACATGAGAGAGTCACATCATTATAATCTGAATTGTGGGCAGTGTAATTAATATGTTACTTATAATAGCAAGGACTTATATATTCTCCTTCTATTCATTAGTCATGGCTGCCTCACTGATCTGATCATCCTGAGACCATGAAAGCAACACGGAGTCTGGACAATTCAGAGGTTCAGTCTTTTTCTTAATTATTTCTACAAATGCTATATTTTATTCAAATTGTACTATAGTGTTGATATGTCAGCTGACATGTTGACTGACATGGTCGACTTGTTGACTAATGTTAACCAATATTGACCAAGACTTGGTTAACATATTGACCGACAGTGAGCAGACATATCGACCGATGGGTGCCTTCAGTACACAAGGTACAAGAAATTTATGATTAAATTTGCATTGTTTGTTTGTAGTCAACTTTAGTCTATTTGTATGGTCACATATGTATACACCTAATTGAAGTTTAAGTGTTTTAGAAAAAAAAAATAAAGTAACAAGTATTTGTAATCCATTGAATTTGGCATATTTGTCACTATCATAAATGTAACATTTTTCCTTTGGATTTAAAAGGAATCCTTCATTTCTGAAACTCTCAAACAAAACTGTAAATTCGAAATATTGATGGCTATAGTCTAGATCTCTTCAATGGTCTGATTATACCTCTTCTGACCAATGGCATTTCAGTGTGGGGTACTGCAAGTTATAATGAGTATTTCTTTCTAAAATTGATAAGTTTCAGAAGAAAGCAGTTTGTTTGGCTTTCTCAAGTGGGCCATACCTGTTTTAAGCCTTCTACAGGCCTCAGATAATAAGTTGTGAAGAGCATCACAAATTCTACCGAGGTCCCTTTGGCAGATCTCCTCCCACCCACTAAGACAAGATTGCCAAGGAATCGCAGTCACTCTTTTCTACTTCATCAAATTAAAACTGAACATTTTAAATGGCTGTGTTTTATTGATAGGTGTCTTTTCAATTTTCTATAACATTTTTGAATTTTAATATGGAATTATGTTTTTTTTTAATTAATGAGGGGCTTATTTATTTATTTATTTATTTATTGTATCAACCTAGTTGATTATATAAAACAAATTTTTGTTTAAATTGCTATTAATTTGTTTTCTTTCATTTTCATTTTTTTCTGTGACTGGTGTACACTATTTGAATAAGGTTTAATTATCTTTTAATGCTAGTCCATTAGCACTGATCATGATTAATATAGACATCACTTATTGATGAGTTACATGCAATAAGTTTTTATACATGTAAGAAGGCACTTTTCTTCCCAACTAAATTTTTCCATATACATGTAAGCTCTCTTTTTGCCCAAGTCCCTGCAAGTATTGTGTAAGAAACTTAATCATTGTCTTATTAGTTTTAGATGACAAGAGATCAATGCAAAGAGTTAGAAATACAATTATCATGGTGATAATTTTTTTATTAAAAAGCAAATTATGTCGGCATGGTCTAATAAAAGAGGCAGGGTAGGGATGAAATTTTGTGCCAAAATTAAGGAGTAATTCACCACCCATGATATTAGTTTCAGCTATCCCTGAAAAGCCCCATAATAATAATGATAATGATAATGATAATGATAATGAAAATGATAATGATAATGATAATGATAATTATTATTATTATTATTATTATTAGAACAGAAGAGCCAACAGTTTACCATGTACTAAATCAGTCATCAGTTACCAAAACCTGCTATGTCTTTTGACCCAAAGATCTCCTAGCTATTCACTGTTATTGCCATGTTTACGTAGGTTTGCTCTCCTGAGACCAGTCTTCCAGCGTTACATGTTACTCTTCTTGGTGGTGAGTGGAGCTCATCTGCTGGTGGCTTGTCAACCATAAACAGAGAGCTTGCTATTCACCTTTCAAATCATTCAGCAGTGAAGGTTTCTTTGTTAGTCCCCGAGGGAGCTTGCAATCATGAAGAAAAAAATGAAGCCCTTACCTATGGAATCACTATCGTTGAGGCGAAGAGACGTGCCGCATTTGATCGTCTTCTTTGGTTAAGCTCACCACCCAAGGATCATGTCATGGACATCGTTGTTGGTCATGGTGTAAAACTTGGTCGGCAAGTACAATTCATTATAGACTCTGCTAAATTTCCAAATTGTAAATGGATACAAGTGGTGCACACTGCTCCAGAGGACCTTAGCAGATACAAATGCTACAGTGACCCCATTTCAAAAGGTGAAAAAAAACACGAATCAGAAGTTGAACTTTGCAAACTTGCTGATCTTGTTGTGCCTGTGGGACCTAAACTGAAAGAAGCATACACTTCATATTTGCGATGTAAGACAGATCATGACGTTTTGTCTATTACTCCAGGTCTTTTTCAAAGGGAGTTTGGGGATTTAGTTGCAAAACAAGATCCTAACGAGGATAGCGAATTCAAGGTGTTGTTATTTGGTCGTGGGGATGATGAGGACTTTGAACTCAAAGGATACAACATTGCTGCTCAAGCATTTACTGATCAGCGGTTAAAAAACAAACCCTATCATCTAATCTTTGTCGGAGCACCTGAAGGAAAACAAGAGGAAGTCAGAGAAAAACTTCTTCATCGTGGTATTGCAGAAGCACAGTTGACTGTTAGAAAATTTACACAAAGTAGAGAGAGAATGAAAGATCTGTTGTGTGAGGCTGACCTTGCCATTATGCCATCAAAATCAGAGGGATTTGGTCCTGTTGCCCTCGAGTCCCTATCTGCAGGCCTACCCATTCTTGTTGGTAGTAAGTTGGGATTTGCCAAAGCATTAGAGAATGTTCTTCATGGTTATTCATGCATTGTAAATTCAGATGATCCTACAAAATGGGCAGAAGCAATTGAAGCTGTTCGTGTCAGGCATCGAATGCGCCTTGAAGAGATTAAAGCACTTAAAGCATCTTATGGAGAGATGTACAGTTGGGAGGAACAATGCGAAGCTCTCGTGGAGAGAATGTGGAAAATGGTCCATGGTAAGAGGTTTCGCTGTAAAGGAGTAAATGACAAAGCAAAATGATGAATATGAGTAATACAGTCGACTCCCGATAACTCGAACCCTCGCTAACTCGAACCTCACGCTAACTTGAACCAAAATCGATTTCGCCTGGATTTCCGTCTTACATTCACTGTAATTTTACCCTCGGTAACTCGAACGCTCGATAACTCGACCTCCCGCTAACTCGAACCAATTTTCGTTTACCGTCATTTCATTTTCTATATAATTTTACCCTCGAAAACTCGAACCATGTTTTGAGCCCTTAAAAAAGTCGGGAAAAATTCCGTTTACTGGCGTCCGAAACATTGAATTTTGGATTTCCTATTGACGTGTTGTAGGAGTATAGTTTACCAGTGGAGGCTAATGTTGATTGTCACAGGCTAACGTGAAGCAGCTTTTCTTCTCAAAACAGTAAAACGCATGCTCTATTTAGGCTATGTTTTGTTACGTTAAGTTGTGATTTATAATCTAAAACTATCTTTTCATTTTCATTTGACATTTCTACAATGAAATGTGATTAAAATGTTCACTGTGCAGTAAAAACTCTTTTTTACCTTACTCTCGGCTATTTTCTTCGAACTCCCGATAACTCGAAACTTTTTTCGATTTCCCTTGAACACCTGTTGAAGGTTCGAGTTATCGGGAGTCGACTGTATCTACAAAATGCTATTGACTGTTCCGAGGAAAAAGCCCACAAGGCATGAGAAAAGTACTGCACAGATGCAGTTTTGACTTTTGCCTACATATTGAGAACATATTTTAATTATTGTAATTGGGCACTTCACAATCAGCTTTCCTGAAATATTTTAGATGTTTATGGTATTCTTGGCTCGATTGGCAGCGATTACTTACCTACTGATTTTGTTTTTTTTCGGTAATTTCCTATTCTAGTAGTGTTGATGTAAAGAAGTTAACTGTGACTGCAGTCTTTGACTGTTATAAAAAATTACACATCCTTTTGAAGTAAATAATTCATTCATAGTAGGCATTAACAGTAGTATTACAGCATGGACCGAGTGGAAAATATCTTTGACCATTTGAGGTACTGTGTGTAAATTAAAATAAGTGATAAATGTGAATGTCCAGTCATGAAAAATATAGATAGCTGAAGCAGTACAAATTAGACAGTCCACTGGATAGGGCAATGATATGCAATCCTAAAGCACTTTCCATTACAGCACACCAAGTAGATATTTTGTATTTAATAGTTTTCTATAAAAACAACTCTACACGCTATTAACTTTCTCTTCAGCGCAAAGGGGCCTTCGTTGTTTTCCCCTCACAATGAAACTATTATTATAACCAACCAACAGGGTCTGAAAATGGCAACGAGCCAAGAAATGAAGAAACTTTCCGTGCCGAGAAGAGAGCTCATTTTGCGGCAGGAAGTCAACCTAAAAGTAGCTGTAAGCTTATTCCAGGTATGGACAAACATTATCCGCTTCCTCTTGCTTATGGCTTCTGGTATGAGCGAAGGTTGGCGTGAGAGGTCCCTTTTTGGTCACTGAGGAGTGTCTACCGTATAATTTGTAGTAGTGAAAAAACCATACTGCCCACTCACTGAACGTAACTGAACAGACTGTATTTATATGTGTCACATCTTCTAAGTTGACTACACGTAGCTTACTAACCGACGCACTGTAATGTTATTTGAATCAGTTCAGCATTTTATTTAGTGTGGCAAGAAAATACACAAAAAGAGAACTTATTAGGATTCTGCCAACATGTTGACATTTCTCAGTAGGTTTATCTTTACCTCCAGACATTGTTACCATGAAGGCATCGTTATCCAGACCTGAGTAAAGAGTACAGCAGGACATAATAATTCGTTAAATTTTAACAAGACAAATGCAATTTTGCACTAAATATTGCACGCTTTCAACTGCCGACGGAATGTCTGCTCTGATTAAACATATACAGGATACGTACAACTTGGACTTGAAATCTGTGGGCATCAGATCTCTTGAAATTAAATTTCAGTATCCCTCCTTCGAGAGGATAGAGGACTATCGATCTGGTCACCTTAATGACATTGCTGAGAGATACCATGTGTCTTAGTCGTGGACAAAAGTGTGCAAACCTTTAACAGAACTGCTACCCTTTATACTACTCAGATTTAACAATTTGCTGGTGAATGACTCAAATCTGGGAACCCGGTTAATACACACACTAAGTGGACTAAAATACGTTTTGTCAACATTTTTATTTAGTTTCTTAAATCAAAGGCTTATCGTTTCTCGGCGACTTACTTTTTGTTTTCAGATATAATTACCAAGCACTGTTTTCAAGAACTGAATGATGAACAGAGCAAAATAGTCCGTGAAACTCTAGAACGACAAATTCAAGTGTACATGCGCTTTCGTAACATTTCAACCGCCGAGGGGATGTCTGGCCTGATAGAACATGTACAGGAGACGTACAACCTGGCGTTGAAATCTGTGGGCGTAGGATCTCTAGAAATAACATTTCAGTGCCCCTCCCTGGAGAGTCTTGAAGTTTTGTGGAGTGACTATCAGTCTGGTGACCTTAATGACGTTGCTGAGAGATACCTTGTGACAGATGACATAAAGAAGAAACTGAACTTGAAGAATCTGACGTTGAAGACAACGATTGAAGATGAAAACTACCGGATTTGCAAGATGATTTTAATGGAGAAACCATGTGAGTTTGGAATTCGTCTTTTGTAAGCAAATTAATTGACTGCAATTTAAACTTAAACTTATTGAAAGCTGAAATCAATAATCTGGAAATAAATTAGTCAATACACGTTTCTAGTAGAGTACCAGAGAGTACACTAATTTTACCTGCTGTGAGTTCGTTCTGGAACAGTACATTTACACCAGATAAATTTATAATGCACATTTGCTATTTCATTCTGTGTTAGCAGTGTTACCACTTACCAGTAAGTCACCTTTAGCTGAATCAGATCAAGAGACAGCTTCACCACCAATTTACACAAGCACGGATGTTTGTGGGGTAGGCTGTTCTTTACTTGAGATAAAGAAAGAAAACAACTGTAGAACACTGAGCGGAGCGTCTTGGCTAATTTAACTTAGCGGTTTTTAGTGAAAGCTAATGAACAGATGTCATCACATCAGTGTTCTCTGAATAACACCGTTATTGAATGTCATGGGTTGCAATTTCAGTGCATTTTTATGTCCACCCAATTCTGGAGAAACAATAGCTCCGTTAAAGTATAATGGTTTTCTGACCCAGTTCCATTAGACAAAGTTGAAAAGTATAAAGGGTTGTTAGGTAGTTTTTTATAATTTTGAACTGTACGGCACGGGGCGCAGAGGAGTTATTTGCGACCTCGATTGTTTCAAGATTGTAGTTAGATGTTACAGTTGATACCACACATCGCCTTTGTTTTTATACTGTTAAATCGAGCAAACTGCCATTATCCATTCCAATGTTCCGGAAAAGTGCTGAAGGTAATGACTGCAGACGAATAACACCGAAAAACCACCAGACGTCCCCCCCGAAAGGGAACGTTCTTTTTCACCGAGCATTGGATAATATTTTACCAGGTTTGTAACACAAGGGCATGACGGTTTGATAGGTCAAGTTCATATCGATTCTTCAGTAAACAAAGGCGAATCACGCTATCAACTGTAAAATTTAATTGCAATCAAGGTCACAAATAACTCTTTTGCGCCCTGTGCTGTACGGTAGTACATAATGATGTGGTTAATTAAAACAGGAAAGTAGTTGACGTGTTAGGAATGGTTACTGGATCTGGCAGAAGAGCTGCCAGATTCTCTTCTTGGTTTCAGGATTTTTATCTCTGTTTATTATTATTATATTGATCTTGGATGGAAAAAAGTGCTTTTTAGTTGGTTCAGTTCAAGGTACACACATATTGTGATTATCTGGGAGTCAATTATTTAGGTGGCCATCATGTTATCAGGGTAAATATTAACCTACAAAGGGTGGGAGGGCTATAAAAAATTCCAGACACATTAATGAGGGTGGCTTTGAAAATTTGCCGAAACCAAGGAGGAGATCAGTCGTTTGTAAGGTGTGTGAATACACGAAGGTCTTGGCAGTCAAATTTTGCTTTTAGACGTGCCTCTTTTAAAAAATAACTTTCGGCTTTTAAAATATTGCAGATCTGTTTTTAAATATAATTTTACCATCCTAGGACAAGAAACTGGTCCTGACCCCCATGGAAAGAGCTGAGAAGGCAAAGGTAAGTGTCATATTTTCGCTTGCCTTTCACTTGTACGCGTCATCCTTACCATCTGAGAGTCTGGAACAAGCTTAAGTAAGCTCTGTGAGATATTGTGCATTCCAGTTAATGGAAGGTTTGAAAATGTCAAATTGGTAACTCAGTGGACAGGATTGTAGGGACCAATCATTTGACTTTTGATGGAGGGTATGGGTGATTCAGAAAAAAGCATCCTCCAGACTGATTTCGAGCGAAAAAAAATCTTGCATAGAAACGCCTGCCCTACAATGGCCTTGTATGTCAGGGGAAAAAATCTATCATCAGTGGTTTTGAAAAAAGAATTCTTGCGCAAACCAAATCACCTATATCCCTCCCCCCCTCTCTCAAAAGGCAAATGATCTGCCCCTTATTTAGACTTTCTCAAATCCCGTCTCCAGTTTCTGTGGTTTGGTGTCTGTCGACGCTCACGTAGTCGACTTGTGGCAAGTCTAAAGTTTATGGTGAGTTTCAGCGTTGTTATTTTCCACTATATAGTGGCGAACCCTTTTACAGCAGAACGGCCTGGCTGACTTTTGCTTAGGATTTGGTGATTATCTCTGGTATCAATATAGATACAAGTAGTATAGTTAGCGGGATAGGGAAATCCTCGGAAAAGCAGCGATAAATATGCTCAGAAGCGAGGGTTGTCTGTTATGACGTGACAGACAACCCGGTGTTAGGCAAGTAGAGTGAAGGATTTACTCTCGGGTTAAAGGATCTGTTTTTGAAACCGGTGTCGAGAGGCCCCTTACACAAGGCTGCTATCAGTGGACAATACGAGACGGTCAAAATGCTTCTTAAAAGTGGTGAAAATGTGGATCAAAGAGATCAGGTTTTAGTCATCTCCATGTAACTTTATTGTAATGTTTAGCCGGAACTCTTGCCTTCGCTTCGCTCATGGATTCTCGAATTCTTTTCTCGTGTTGGCTGTGAAGGATTGAGGTTTCGCGAAGGCTTCCGCGCGGGGTCATATAGCAGCTGCTCGGAATAGAGGTCGCCAATGGTGCATTCCCCTGACCCCAATAATACTAAAACAATTGAAAGAATTACATGTCATTGTTTCCTGCGACCAATCAGGAGCGATCTCTCTTCCGAGCAGCTGCTACACTACCCTCCGCGCGAGGTAGAGTTTAGAGGGTGGGGAGGAGAACTGGAAACGAGAGCGTACACGAAAGCCTTTGATTGGTTGTCACGACAGGTGCCATTATTGTAACGTGACAGTTATGAACGGATTTATCTTTTAAAAGCCAGTAGTTGTTGATAGTTTCAGCCAACTCGGATTCTCTTTCATTCCTTGTATCTATTAACTAAGCACGAAACATTCCTCTCGAAAGGACTTTACTAAAACAGGGAACGACCTCGGGGGGACAGGAAAAAAGGGAGAAAAAAAAATGAGACTCAGACATTGCTTCCATATTTCATTTTGCAGTTCTCCTCCCCCATCTCTCGTTTTACGAAAGATTTTGGGCAATTTTTATGTCGTTCTGCGTATGAACAACTTGATATTAAAGTTTACAATTGGGTAACTTTTGAATTTGATTTGTTTGAACCCAAATGCCTCAACTGAGTCTTGCCAAAAGTAGGTAGAAAGGGGTCGCGTTGGTGATTCTAGTCCAGAATGGGGCTGATTCTTGACGCTGACAGTCATTTCGACAACTTCTGCGCCATTCAAGAAAAAACCCTGATGATGACTTCCACACAGATTATTGAAACATCGGTTACTGTCCCCAGCCATGCTGTTCTGAACTACAACCACCAGGACGGTCACTTTCAATCCGCTTAAATATAAATTGTTAAAAGTTATTGAGTTTTAGTTTTAGTTTGAACTTTTTAAGACCTTTTTCTTTCCTGCTCCTTAAACCTTATCTAACTACGTTGTACTTTTTTGGTAGTTTTCTTTGACTCCTCTTCATCGATCTTGCCTGTTGGTACGGACAAAAAACTGTTGTCAATCTGTTGTTGAAACATGGTGCAAACGTCAACGCTGAAGACAAGGTGAGTTAGTAGCAGAATTTTCATCGATATGCTGCACCTCTATGGCACACGCGGGGAATACTAAGATATGGGCGAAAATAATTTCCGCGTATGCGAAGAAGTGCAGCATAACTGGGTTTTCGTCGCTGAGGGGAGAAGGGGGGGCAAAAAACGCAAGTATATATGCCCTCTCGGGGCATGAACGCATAGAAAAGCCATCTGATCAGTGATCCTGATGTTGACAAATCATTTAAATACCACACTCAATACCCAGGGGTAATGCAAGGGTCCCAGGAGGGAGAACGTGCTAAATCATGGGGCCCGCGTGCCCATTTCCGAGCAAACATATCAATGAAAATAGAAGGAGAATTTTCATCGATATGCTGCATCTCTATGGCACACGCGGGGAATACTAAGATATGGGCGAAAATAATTTCTACCCGAGCGCCGAATTTCGCCACTAAGCCAACAACCTTAGAAAAATCGTCATATTCCGCCCAATCTCAGAAGCTCATCGTACGGGAACAGCTCTTGGAGACGCCAGTGCCGTGTGATATGGCCAATCACGCCGCACGAGAAAACAACCTGGCCGCAGGTACAAGAGTGTAAAGAAGTTTATCTTCCCACAGACTTCTGCAGAGACTTAGAAATACCGTCTTGTGGCTAAGCATATTTTCTTGAAAAGAAGCAAGTTTAACCGCCTTATCTAGGGGCATTAAAAACGTAGTGTAAGGAAAAATCTATGATATACCACAGAAGCACCGACGTTTGCGTGGGAACAAGGGTCAACTTCCCAAAGCCAAACAAATAACGGAGACCGATGAGGGAGACGGGAGCGAACCGGCCCAACTGGCGGGCTCGCCTTCCAGTTACACCAGGAATGATAAGATCTGACGGAATCTCGTGCGTTTTAACCGAAGTTAAACAGTGTCTAAAAGCGAAATAATTGGAAATAGATTACCACGAAGGCAACGCACATATACCCCACGTGAAAGCTCTAAACCGAAACTGGAAAAAGAAATAAAGGGGGAAAGGGGGAGCCACCAACCAGGCCGATCCAGGAACCCCGTCACAGACAGAATATCGGGCATAATTTAGAAGACCCGCCCCGGATCGACCGGACTGATAGCAGGAGCACAAGACCGAAAGTCATGAAATAACGACACATTTCTCGAAGCGAGTAAAACAACACACAAGAAAAAACCAACCAAAACAAAGCGATGGGCCGATTTGCGTGACATGAGGTATACATGTAGTCGAGATGAACCTGCATAAATAACTATAAGCCCATAAAACTAACAACAAATGGCAAACGCCGAATAAACCTGGAACGTAGAAAACAGCCCAGGCAGCTAAACCATAGAACCGCGGATGACTAATTCCAAATAACGGGATGAAAGCGGCCGTCTTCCGTTTAAGAGCCCCCCAGTGTGTTCATCGCGCACTGATATTTGTAAACAAAACAGAACAGAGATGCCATGATCATGAATTCTAATTCGAAACAGGAAAAATCGATGATAAAAGCACGTGCCGTGCGTATTGGCAATGGAAGCTTAACACTTTAACAGCGCTTAAAAATGCCAAGTGAATAAAAGACGAGAAAACAAAAGGGCCCGAGGAAATAAACTAGAAAAAACTAATGTTGTAACTTCTATAACACTGACGAACAAACAAAGAAATAGAGAAGAAAAATTTCCGAACACTGGAACTAGTTGCGGAAAAGAAAACGTAAGCAACAACGAACGTGAATAAAAACGCGACAAACTACAGGATATGCCAAGGAGCACGAATGCAGAAAAAACACGGACCGCAAAGTTTAGAAAATGTGAAATACAAGACCAAAATGACGCGCCTCACATGAGGACAAAAGAAGCAACACACCATGAAAAACGATCCCAAAAGGGAGGAACGACATACTGAATAAATAAGAGCAGAAGATGCCAAATACTAGACTGAAAGTGACACACACTACGAACACTAACCTAGGAGCAGAAAATACCATAAACAAACCAGCCTGAAAGGGATACGCGCTATAACGGCTGAGGAAACCTAAGAGCGACACACGTTACAAAAACTAGTCTGAAAACATGCCGCTAACCTTAAGGCGACACACGCCATGACAACAACTTCAAGATGGTACATGCCCGGGCAAGTTGTAAGCGACACGCGCTGTGAACACTAAATGGAGAGCAAAATATGAAAGACACCATGAAACTAGAGCGAAAGCGACACACGCCAGAAACGGCTAACCGGTAGGCGACACGCCGTAGAAACAACCTAAAGACGACAAACGCCGTGAAAACAACCTGAAGGCGACACACGCCATGAAAACAACCTGAAGGTTTTCAATGATTGTCTAATTGAACATTGATTTTGGTGGACCCAATCTTAGTAAAGATTTTTGGTATTCATGCAGCCAAACAAATTTTGTAAGTCAGTAGTGCTTACATGTATCAAGTAGAGTAATAAGTTTCCCGACAACATCTGTGTGATATACATTTGTATGTGGCCACACCTTATGAAACAGTGATAATTATTGTTGGGCAAAAATTTATTTACTAATAAGTTTCCCGACAACATCTGTGCGATATGTGTGGCCACAGCTTATGAAACAGTGATAATTGTTGTTGGGACTGTTAGTAAGTTGTTTCGCTTAGGATCTTGATGCTTTAAAAGTTTTTTTGTGTGTGTGACAGTCCAGGGCTGTCACTAAGGGCCGGGCGCCGGGGATTTTCCCCGGCTACTACAAGTCTGAGCCCCGGCTACTTTGATACAAAATGAAAATATTGGAAAGAGAAAAATGCATCAAAGTACAAAATTATGAATTAAATAAACAAACCAATAGTTTAGTAATACAAACTCTTACTCATCTTTTAAAGAGAGGAGACTTTACAATCCCCGTGAGACTGACTGAAAACACGTTATGTTCAACATCTTTCGAAAGCGTGCGGTTTTACGAAGTGTTCGTTTCATTTGGTTTCTCTTGTTTTGAGAGTTTCTGGTTCCGCGTAAAAATGTTATCCAAAAAACGAAAGGCAGAAGTGGGCAAACAAAGAAAACTGGATTTCTTCTTCTCTTCTAGCTCCGCTTCAAGGTAAGATTGTGTTTAACTGAACAAACAACCGTTTGGGCTTCAGCATTTCTCTTTTGATTCGACCACTGAGATCAAGCCTGAACGAATTTGCAGAAGATGCGCGTGGCCCAGTAGTTGTCACACATGGACTTGCCGTTGTTGCACTTTAAACAATTTCTACAAAAAAAGTCGGCGATCAGTTAAGTGCAAACTTACAACATTAATTTGTTCTTCCTCTCGCTCGTTTACTCGTCCACAATAAGGGTAAGACTGGTAAGTCTTACACATCAGTCGTACATGGCTTGCATTCGTCCCAGTTATTGCTATGCCCGACAGAAATTTGGTTCGTCCGTTAGTGCAGGTAGTTTCATTGCGTTAATTTCTCAAAGCAACGCTGTTGGTTCAAGAAAAAATGAACCAGTGTGATGTTTCCGACACGTTCTCGACGCCATGTTTTTCACTCGTGGTAACAAGCTTCTTTCACTCGTTCCCAGTCTTCCTCAATTTCTCTTTTCTGTCACGCCCATATTCGCGAGTCACGCGGGCTGTTTTATGTTTGCGTTGGTGTAATTTTTTTGAATCCCAAAATATACAGCATGCATATCTCTTACATGTACGAAAGATGCACAATGTTTGTTTTCTTTGGCCTATACTAAAACAGATCACTGAATGTGATTTTGAAAAAGTTTGAAAATGCTGTGCTTTCACTTTAATGAAATTTAAATAAAATCAGATGATGCAAGTAAAGGAAACTAGCTTTCAAAAGGACTTTCAAACTTAAGAATAAAAATGATTAAAAGTGTATTATAGGTTTGTTTCAGTGCGACACCCAACAAATAATTGTAATTTCAACATTATTAGAGAAGAAGTTGAAGCTTTTTATAAACCTTGAAATCTCCCTAATGTCCCTAATGATGTTGATGAATTTGGTGATGATGAGGACTTTGAAGACGATAAGTTACTGTTAAAACCTAAGTTATTGTGTTAAACATAAAATGTTTGTGTGGAAGCATTTATAGAGACACAGACAGTCAAAAACTTATCGGCATGTAGAACAGTTTGGTCTTTGTGACTCACTGTTAAGCAAATATGCAAGCATTTTCTCGTGGAAATGAAGTACAGATTTTCAAGAGGATACAATTTATGCCAGCCCAAATTAAGTATTTTTTGTTGGTAACTTTGAATTTCTTGTCAGCATATAAGAATCAAAATGACTCTTGAAAACTTGTCAGAGCCTTGGTATTGGTCACAGTAGTCTGTGTTATTTAATTTACACCACGCAAAAATTGCAATAAAAACCTTTTAGGAAAAAGTTTTGTATTTTCCTTAACCCTTAACCTCCACCGTAACCACCCACCCCCCCCCTCCCCCCCCGCAGTAGCACCAGACTTTTTTGGTCCCCCGGCTACTTTTTACAATTCCCCGTCTACTTGAAAAATTAGTGACAGCCCTGCAGACTGTGTGTCTGTGTGTACAGCTGCCATTGACAACTGACGACAAACGCGAGCAAAAGCAAGAAGTTTCATTTGCACCAGAACCCCCAACAGTTGAAGGAGGTGGAGGAAAACAAGAATCAGACGTGAGGTACAAAATTCCAGAGGGTGCAGAGGCTACAACAGTCCTCGTAGGAACACTAGATGAACTGGAACAGCCAGTACTAGCATTTGTCCGCCTTGCAAAGGGGTGCCCATTGAACATCACAGAGGTTTCCATTCCAGTACGGTTTCTGTTTGTCTTGTTGGGTCCAATCTCTGGTGAAGAGTCCTACTATGAAATTGGCCGTTCGGTGGCTACCTTAATGTCTGATCAGGCAAGTACTTTTTTATCAGACATTGGAAAATTGTGGCCGACTTTGTTCGGCCATGCAACTGGAAGAGTAAAAGTAGGCAATTGTGGCATGTTAATTATGACTGCTATGACTGGAAAAAAAATGGTAAATGCTTCGTGGC